ATCACTTCCTTTTTTATTGAAGTTAGTTATGGGTCAAAATTACCTCCCAAAATAAGGGTTATACAATTATTCGGGCTTTATTCAATTATTCGGGTTATATCTAAGACAATAAATGGCTAGTATGCTCCTATTGGAGAATGAAATCTTCAGGAAAAAAAAGGGAAATTCCCCGTTAAAAAACAAATATCTTCTGGCAAAAAAAATATTTTTGGCAAAAAGATAATCTTATGATCATCACCCGTTCACCCGGATATTTTTGAAAAGACTATCGAGTTCTTAAAAAACATTCGTCCTCATCCGGTTCAAAGACTTGTCTTCTTTGCGAGGGGAGTTGATTTGGAGCATTTCTGGACTCCAATAATTTTTTCTTTTTCTAATGAAATTGCTTTTTGGAAGGGGGAAAAAAAGAAAAAAACGCCAATTTTGGGCCATTGAAAAAGTAAAATAAAACTCCCTTTTGTTTTGGTGGCTTTCACTATCACCTGATACGCTCTCTTCATATAAAAATAAAGAAAGTAAGGAAGATGATACATGAGAATATATAAGGAAGAGTCATACGAGGAAAACAGATTCACGAGCAGCAAGGGCAGTGATATCTGAGCAGGAGACGGTGCGGTCGCACTTCTTGTGAACCCGTCTTCTCAAATCCTCAATGATTTTAAAGGCTTCGGGGCGCAGAGTGAGGTTGGGGGGCGCATCCTTCTCATCGGGCCCGCTTGCTGATCCTTCCAACAATACCGACCCATCGCAACCCTAAAAACACACATTTTTCACCCGTAAATAATCACATAAATAAGATGATTTAACCCATTTTCAAAAAAAAAAAAAAGAGTTTTTTTTTTTTGTTTTTAACAGAGGGGTACCGGGCGGGAGCCTAGTCCCATGGGGCTGTCCCAGGCCCGGCTCCTAGCCCTATTAAGGCTGGCTAAGCCAAATAAAAAACATAAAGAAAAAAAAAAAGGTCTGGGGAGGACCCAACCGGCCATGGACCCAGCCTAGCCCAGTCCTACCCTCGGGCCATGACTTTTCTCCCCGGCCTCATGGAGAGAGCACAAGCCCGGTCCATAATCCTATTAAGGCCAGTTCGGCCATATAACCCAAAAAAAAAAAGAAAAAAAATAAAAAGCCTTGTGGCGAACCGAGATTGGCATGTTTCAGCCTGGTCCTACCATCGGGTCATAGTTTTTCTGCCCTGCACAAGGCCGGGCCATCGTCCTGCCCTAGTTTTAGCCTGGTTTTTTTTGAGCGGGTTACGCGGCCCATATGCCGCCTCATTAACAACCACGAGAGAGGTATTGGGTGAGACCGTTAGAGAGAGAGACGCCAATACAACACAAAATGACTGAGATAGAGGCAAATATCACCAACAAAAAAAAAAGAAAAAAGTTAAAAAGAGTCGGTCACCTGAACAAAGCAGTCATGGAAATGGACACGGAGCAAGCCGGCAGCTTGGGTGATGTCCTTCTTGAAGACCTGTTTCAGTCTCTTTCTAACAATTTCTTCAAGTTTAGGGCATGAAGATTCATAGAAACTCCATGAGAGCCCCGACACAATAGGAAGATCAGATATCTGAGCTGTTGCAATGGTGGATATGGCCACCACAAAGGCAAGCGGCAATAGCACCAAAAACCCTTTAGAGACGGCCATTAACACGAGCTTCCCTCTTCTTTTTACAGTAACTGGACGCTCTGGTTCAGAAAGAAAAACAATGGTGGGTAGGGAATTTATAGACATATGAGGTAGAAAGTCTTGTGACTGATGTGTTAAAGAAAGACTCTTAATGGATATATGCCAATAGATATGAATAAAGAAATGCGATTTTAAAAACTTTGAAAAGTAGAGCGAGAGAGGAAGAATCATGGCGGGCGAATGGGTCCACAAAGAAAGTAGAAGTGAAAGGATGAGGGTAAAAGGAGGGGCACGTGGTCAGCACAGTCTAGTAACATTCACCCTCATTATCGTTAGCAGCCCATGTTTCAATATTATAGTGATCGAGAAGGCCTGAGATGAGGCCTAGGCCTTACGGAAGAAAGTGAATCTGCACCTCCAATTTAACCCCAAAAAAATGGTTTTCATATGGTGACTTTAGGATGGTCCTGGGGGAGCATGCTGAGAATAATTTTGTTTTGTGAAAATTTGGGACTTAGTGGATGTTTACTTTCAAAAAAAGAATGAAGTTTCTAGGCTCACCTCAAATTCTCATTCGGCTCTAAAATCAATGTTCAAGACCGGCAATAAAATTTGAAATTCAAAAAATAGTATTGATCTTCCAAAACTTATTTTGAAAGCAAAATGAACTGTCTACATAATTTGTTACAATATACACTATTTTTATATATTTAAATTTTAAATATTTTTCACCAACTATAATGTTTAAAGGGGAGATGTAAAAGTTTTTCTATGCTTCAATTGCAAATTTTCATGATTTTATGAGGTGTGAACCGTGTGAACTGTGATTGACAGTTTATAATGGGAAATATATATATATGTATGATAAAACTATGGAAAAAGTTTATATAAAGTTGCAACTTTAAAATGTAGAATTATATAATCCATTAAGAAAAGTCGTTGTAATATTGAAAAACCCTCTAATCGATCATCTCAACATCGATGTATGATTATGGAAAACAAAAAGATTTTGAGTCCCAAAAACATTGCCATAAACCCTCCATTTCCAAGATTTTCATATGTTTATAGATCTACTTGATTTTAATTATATTTGGAGTGTAAAATTTTATAATTAGAGATAAAAATAGATTTTCAAATAATACTAATAACTTTTTATACCAAAATTACATGTCAAAATAAATTTTGGAGGTACGCCTTAATTGAATTGTTTATGGCTGAAACCTTATAAAAACCACACCCTAAAACTATTTATCTTTGGTACACAAGAAAGTCTCAATCAATTATAATTGTTGGATAAAATTAAGTGGCCTTGAGCTTCCACCGATTCTGCTTAGAGTTAAAAAAACAAAACAAAAAAAAAGTTGAACTTTATGACACCTAATTGATCACATCGGCTCTTAAATTATGAAAGTGCAAAAAAAAAAAAGAAAGAGAAGAAGAAGGTTGAACTTTATGACACCTCAGACGGTCAAATTTCACATTTGATGTACCAATTTGGGCTCTCGATCACGCGCTTCTTTGCTCCTAGAGTAAATGTACGAAAAATTTTGTAGTTAAAAGCCCATCTCTCTGTGTAGTCACCAAAAAAAAAAAGGAATATGTTTCATACATGCTGGATCGCATGCTTATATATGCGGTCCAAAAAGTGTAAAGCATCCATCTTAAAAATGGATGCAAGTAGGTGTTCCATCTAAAAACAATGGAAAATAACGATCCAAATATTTTTTTAGTAGAATTATTATTTTTAGTTTTCAAATTTTTTTTTTTTTCATGCTTATGATCTCTATGTTAGAGATTACATGTCCTTAAAAATTAAGTCCAAAAATACATATAAAAAATAAATTTATTAATAGGTCCGTATTTCTACATACGCGGGGTTAGCCGCGTCGAAACAGGGTAAACAAAAAAAAAGGCCGCCTCTCTAAAATTATCGGTTAGTTGAGGCTGGGCCTGATTTCATAGAAATAACTGTAATGAAGAAACTACGTGTTTTCATGGCTTAAAAAGCTTTGCTTCAAATCCCATCTCATTATGATTTTGAGGTATCTATTAAAGAGCGGCCCAAGTTGTTCCACCACCAAGTTCTCATTTCCTATTTATTTATCTTAAATAGTCCAAGTATGTATCACTTCGAAACCTACTTAAAGATGTAGTATTGATTTCAGAAATGATATTTCCGCTTCTAATCATGAAATTTGAAGTTTAAAAAATAGTTCATATTGAGTTTATCCATAAACATTTGAAAATTTTGAAAAGAAAAATTGTTTTATGTGGGCTGGACGGCTTTTCTACATATACAGTCTAGAAAGTATAAAGCATTGTTAAAGATGGATGCAAGTAGGTGTTCCATATAAAAACAATAGACACTAATGGTCCAAATGTTTTTTTATTAGAATTGTTATTTTTAGTTTTTAAAATTTATCTATTCATTCATATTCATGATCTCTATGTTAGAGATTACAGGTCGTTAGAAATTAAGTCGTAAAATCCATCTCAGAAATACATTTATTAAGAGGCCCGTATTTTTTAATATGCGGGCTTGGTTGCATAGAAACATGGTCCTCTTGAAAATAGACGGTCTCATTAATGTGTTACAAGATATACTAATTTTAAGATTTTTTTTTTTTTTTGGCACTTTCATAATTTAAAATTTAAGACCTTTGTTTTTTTTTTTTTTTTTTTGCACTTTCATAATTTAAAAGCCGATGTGATCAATTAGGGGTTTTTCGAGTATCAGAACAACCACTATATGAAGGATTTTCAAAGTGAGCCTTACTTTTATAATACAAAGTGGATGCATTATATAAACTTTTCACTTAGTTAGTATTTGCAAATTGCAACTTTAATAAATAATCATTACATCGAGCTTTTTATATTTTTCTCACTGTACAAAACTTATATAATTCCCCTGTCCAAAAGTCCATTCTGAATGGGCGGTTAAGATTGCCTCAATCGTAATGTCATGCCTCTATATTATTTAGTTTTAGTAGTTTTTTTGAAAAATATTTTGATACCAAATTTTGGGCATCCACTCCTCTCTTGAACCCGTAGCTGTTAAAAATATAAAAAAATATACTCAATAAAGTAAAATGACCAAAATTCTTTTAAAAGTTTTACAGGCATTTTGGACATTATATTTTATCAAAATATATTTTAATTTTTTTTTGAGGTGCGCCCCATTAAATAACATGTGCCAAAATTTTCACTCATATAATTTGTAAAAAATAATTAAAAATAAAATATTATAAAACATAAAATCTAGATCAATCAGTCATTAACTTACTTAATTTAAATTGGACAGCTGGATCAGGGAAAGTATAGAAACCTTTCTTTTTAATATGAATTTATATTAGTGATGCAAGATCATTTGGTCTCTATCTTCAACTCTCAATCAAAATCAAAAGTCACCTGCTCTGTCCCTAATGAAGAAATATTCTAGTGTCGGTAAGATAGTGGGTAGAGAACCTAACCGTGTGTCAAGTGGATAAGGCACACACGAATTTTATCATTGGAGGAAGTATCAAAGCGTTTTCGTCGGTACGTATATAAAGGAAGGTTTAAAAAATCGGTGACCCGATTAGGCAATTCGGATTAGGTAAAAAAAAGGTGGTTCCAAATAGTAGAATCGTCGATTTTTTTGCGGAACTACCGATTCTGATGATTCTTCACCATGTCCGGCCGATTCTTCACTGATTTCGATCGATTTTTCACCGAGTTAAAAGAAAAAAAAAGGATGATCAATTTCTTCTTGAATTAATTTTAAAAAATTTGAAACAAAAATTACCGATTCTGGTGATTCTTTCGATCCGATCCATCGATTCTCCCAATTCGACACGGATATGGATGTAATCGATTCGAATCACCGATCTATTTTTTAAAACCTTGATATTAAAAAAATGTAGATTTCATTAATATTTTGAAGTTAGTATGATTTATTCACAATTAATTGGTCTTACTTATTATCTTGACCTCGTATAAACCAATGAAATCTCCTCATTATCCTTTGTAACAATTTGTATACAAATTTTAAGTGGAAAAAGTTTATATAAAGCCGCAGCCTTATACTGTTGAAGTAAGGCGCACCTCAAAAATTGTATAGAGAAGAGTGTTTCGGCGTTGAAGAAGCCTCCTAGTGATCATCTCGACATTGTGATGAACGGACATGACAACATGCTTTTGTGGGAGAATGAAATCTTTTGGCGAGTGGAAAATTCTCTCCTAAAAAAAAGAGAATTCTAAGTCCAAAAAATAGTGGATCTTATAACTAGTTTTCTAGACCGTTTATTTTCAAGATTTTCGAGTATTTATTGAATCACTTGATCTGTACAATTCTTTAAAGTTTAAATTTTATACTCTAGGATGAAAAGTGATTTTTCAAGCCGGTTTCAACACCGAAACGACGCCTCTTAAGTAAATTTTATATGCGCCCCATATTTTTATAGTATAAAGAGGCAACCTTATGCAATTCCATATTTTTATGGTATAAGGAGGCAACTTTATACAATTCGTTTACGATGACTTTTTTTGTTTTTCTAGGTGGTCAATTTTTTGTTCCATTCAAAATTGTTGTCTCCATATTTTTTTTCATGATTCCTCGTTATTTATTTTGTTTCGGGAGTAGTCGAACAAAATGCTTAAACGTTAGATATAACGGTCGTTTTTGATAGATCGAACGTGTACCTTACGGAATCAACGTTCCCTATCGGTCAATATTGGCAACTTTTTATAATGGCCGTTATGTATTAAAGTGACGGCTTCTAAAAATATATTACAGAAGTTAAGCAGTATTTATATAGGGCCGAGGCCCTAAACAATCAAATTAGAGCCCCCCTAAAAAATGTCACTAGGAGGGACTGTTTTGATGCGACGTGACAAAACATTGCATTTCAAGTTTAGAAATAGTCCAACTTGTAACGCATTTTTAAATCGTAAATTTTTAAGATTTTTAATTTTTTTATAGATCTTTTTGATCTGCATTATTTTTTAGGTTTTAAATTTTATAATTAGTGAAAAAATTAGAAGTAGTACAACTTGTAACGCATTTTTAAACCGTAAATTTTCAAGATTTTCAACTTTTCATAGATCTTCTTGATCTACGTTATTTTTTAGGTCTTAAATTTTATAATCAGACAGAAAATATATTTAAGGCA